CATTGTTCATTCTTAGTTCCTTAAATGTAAAAAAATATCCACAGAATGGTGGCATACCTCTAAATTAGTTTAAATATGGTACAAAGTTATTTTTAGTTAGGTTCAAGTTTTAAAAAGACACTAATCATTCTTCTCAAAGGCTAATCTACTCAAGTTCCTCCCATATTAAAAAAATAAAAAGCCTCATTTATCTCTTTTGGAAAGAAGAAATGTTATTTATGTAATGTTCAAGCACAAGGATATTAGAATAATGTACCTAATATCAAATCAGGGTCTGGATCACACATATTGTTAATAAAAATAAATTTGACCTTTATTCTGATGATGGGCCTTTCAAACACCAGCATGACTAAATGCCATTTATGTGTTCTTTCAAATGTAATTCTAACTTTTAAAAATACTCTTATCTTCTACTATGCAAAGGAAAAAGGAAGAAAACTCCCATAAACGATTACAAGCTGGTTCTTATTCATGAAAAAAAAAAATACAAGAAACATTCATGTAATATTTATTTGAGATCTGTTCCCTCCTTGCATGCTAGAAAGATGAAGACAAACACTTCCAACTATTCAGACAGATCATTCCACAGTTGTAACTTTCATCATAGTTCTTAAAGCGGTATGGTGAGGTCAGCTCACAAACAGCTTAAGTAGCAAAACTAGAAATTGGTGGTAGTAGTATCAGGCTACATAACAGCCTCTCCAAAGAATATGAAGTAAGAGAACTAAAATGTGCTGGCAACATGCCAAGAGACTGGATAGAATATAGCTTTGAGCAATGAATATGCAGAGCTTACAGTATATAGCAATTTATCATCTCTTACCCCGTAGCCTGATTTTCCTTGTTTTAAACCAAAAATAGCCATATATAAGGGGTATTTAACAGTACCAGTTTTCTCCATGCTTATGACTGGGAAAGGCATATGGGCTTGAAATGACTTGATAACCTAAATACACACCCTAAAATGAAAAATCTGACTTCCATCCTATGTGAGGATGAGTAAGGTAAAATATACAATTGTATTGATATTATTCTGCACAGAATAGCTTTTATTCTCCAAAAATTATACTGCCCTCAGCATAATCCTAAAGGCTTGGGTTTTTCTATATTGTCAGTTCTGACTATCTCTGCAACTGGTTGACATGTAGAATTTGTCAACCTTCTCAACAGGTTTAATAAAGAATTAATTCTGCCAGATCAAAGGACATAATTTTGGTCAGAAACAATTCCTTTGACCTTAATCAAAATATATGTTACTTTTAGGGCTTCCCTGGTGGCGCAGTGGTTGAGAGTACGCCTGCCGATGCAGGGGACGCGGGTTTGTGCTCCGGTCCAGGAGGATCCCACATGCCGCGGAGCAGCTAGGCCCGTGAGCCATGGCCGCTGAGCCTGCGCGTCCGGAGCCTATGCTCCGCAACGGGAGAGGCCACAACAGTGAGAGGCCCGCGTACGGCCAAAAAAAAAGAAAAAAAAAAAATATATATATATGTTACTTTTAAAATTTCACCTTTATTGAATCATATATTTTAAAAGCATAATAAACTCCAATTCTTAAGTCTCTGACACTTCCTAAACATTTTCTTTCTAAAGAACCAAAAGAAAATGCGGTTATTTTAGGCGAGAGAATCATATTCAATTCAAATCCACATGCATTTAACACCTATTTTGTGCCAGACATTATACTGAGAACTGAGGAAACAAAGATAAATATGTATATGGTCTCACAGAGCTGACAATCTAGTTGGGAAAACCAGACCATTTCAAACTCAATCAAGTTCTGCCCCCTACCCTCATACTGCCACCCACGTGCTCTACTAGCTAGAGGAACAAAAGCTCTGGTATCTTCCAGGAAAGTGTAAGTAAATCTGCCAGGCAAGATGGAAAAATCTTCCGAGAAGATAAGCTACGTCTTGAAAGATGAGAATTTCACAAGGGAAAGTGGGATACTGCAGGCCAAGAAGGACAGAAGGAGCAAAATCAAGAAAGCACAAAAACATGGCATGCGTGAGGAAACCCACGTGGCAAGGGTAGGGATAACAATTTTGGGTACATGTGCTACTACTCTTCTACCCTCAGCCCATGACAGACCTCACTGATCAATTAAAGCATGTTTAAGTCCACATGAGACTCAAACTCCTTCTCAACAGATAACTCAAAATCAATGGAAGGAGGCAAGTCCACGAGATGAAATTTATGTGCTATCCTCAGCCTGGGAAGAGAAAGTGGTGGGATTTGAGGCTAGAAGGGTAAATTAAGAACAGATTATGAATGACAGTGAATGCTAGGCTAACAAGTTTAGATTTTATTCCGTGGGCAACCAAGGGTGAACAGAGGATTTTATGAGAAATAATGACATGATCAACTCTGGCAGATGTCTGGCAGATGTGCAAAGAAAGCTTTTGGACCAACAGAATAAAGGCAGAAAGAACAGTTCAAGAAGCTATACCTTCAGGACTTCCCTGGTGGCACAGTGGTTAAGACTCCATGCTCCCAATGCAGGGGGCCCAGGTTCAATCCTGGTCAGAGAACTAGACCCCACATGCAAGCCGCAACTGAGAGTTTGCATATCATAACTAAGGAGCCCACCGGCCGCAACTAAGGAGCACACGTGCCATAACTAAAGGAGTCCTTGAACCGCAACTAAGGAACCTGCCTGCCGCAACTAAGACCTGGCACAACCAAATAAATAAATTAAATAAATATTTTTTTAAAAAAAGAAGCTATAGCTTCTCAGTCCAGGCAAGACACAATGAGGCCTGAATTTCAGCAATGGCAAAAATCTATTGCAGGTTCTAAAACAAAAATGTAATGTTTTAGATTTCATAATTCTTGGTGCCTTTTTTTTTTTATAACTTTATTTATTTTTGGCTGCACTGGGTCTTCGTTGCTGCACACCAGTTTTTCTCTAGTTGAGGCGAGCAGGAGCTACTCTTCATTGCAGTGCGCGGACTTCTCACTGCAGTGGCTTCTCTTGTTGCAGAGCACGGGCTCTAGGCGCGTGGGCTTCAGTAGTTGTGGCATGCCAGCTCAGTTGTTGTGGCTCATGGGCTCTAGAGCACAGGCTCAGTAGTTGTGGCACACAGGCTTAGTTGCTCCATGGCATGTGGGATCCTCCCAGACCGGGCTCGAACCTGTAACCCCTACATTGGCAGGCGGATTCTTAACCACTGAGCCACCAGGGAAGCCCCTAATTCTTGGTTTTAAAACAAGTTTGGGAAGAATTAGTATTCCAATTAGAATTCCCTAATAATACTCAAAAAGGAAAAGGAAAGACAAATTAAGGTAAACACTAGAATTAAAGAAGTGAATCACAATTCAAAATTACTCAAGACGATAAATTCAGAAATAGATATTTCAGGTTTAGCATCAAGAAAGAGAACATCCTCATGACCAGACTAATACTCAGCAAGTCTTTTCTTCCTGAGGGCACTAATACTCTAGCCAACAACACTACTTACCTTACATGCCCCTACAAATCCCAGTGAGAGGCAGAAAGCACAAAAGTCAAATTTAAAACCATATCTCAGCCTTTAAACTCTAAAATTCTTTGTGAATACAACCCATATGTAGCACTTTGGGCAGTATGCAAAAAAAGCAACTTCCTATCATTTCTGCAGAATGTTTAATAAATGAAAGTATTCTAATTAAAAATTAGAACTTCACTGTAGATCAAAAGGCCAAAGAGAAAAGTTTTTCTGTTTTGGAAAAAGAAATTCTTTAGCTGTTGCAAACAAAGGCTAATGAAATCCAGGTGCAACATATCAACAAGCATGCTCGAAAAGCTAGCATTACTGTTTTAAGACCTAAGGATATTCAAACTAAAGATAAAATTATCCTGTAGTGAATGCCAACAATGCACTTCATACTACATAGACACATATTCAAGGGTTCTACTTTGTTCTCATCCCAATTCTTTTGTGTCCCAGTAACAAACTCTCAAATTGGGATTATCTTCCTTTTAAAACAAGCTAAAATGAAAAACATGAACTCCAGCAATAAAATTTATTTGTGGTGTATTGTTTATTCTGAGAAAGCAAATCAGAAGAACAGTTTGTCATAATCAATCTCTTTTCCAGAAAGATATTGATTAGCTAGTCATGAGCAGGGTCTATTTCTCATGATGTTCTAAAGTCATCACTAAATGTTACACATGCCATGCTTCCTTCAAATCAATCACAAAACAAGTCATCCTAGACTGAGGTCAAATTCCTTTCCAACTAAAAGAGCTCCAAACTTAAGTAATGGTCCACTTACTAAGTAATAATCAGAGACCAAATTCCAGAAAAACCCTCCTCCTGTACCTCCCCCACCTAAAAAAAAAAAAAAAATTAGTCTCCTTTTAGCTCAGTGTAATGGAATGTGACCTGTAGTTAAGGGGTTTTCCATTCCTATTTACTGCTTAGAGAACATGAAGCAGATCTATTCTCTCTCAGAAGGGTAATGTATTTTTTTAAAAGAAAAAAAGTGAAGTGTAGGAGGTTAATCATATATAATAATTAGAACAAACAAAAGGTAAGTTGATTTACTAGATTTCTCATGTTCGACAGAATGAGTATATTTAAATCACAACTGAATGTTTATTTTTATTTTACAACCTGATCAGACATCTAAAAGATTTATGATTTGTGTGACTAATAACAACTAGGTAGGGAAGGGGAAGTTAAAACTACAACTACTTAAATAAATCTTCACACATGAAACTACTATAAACATCTTTTCACAACAAATCATATCTTTATCATTGAAGTTACACACTTAAGTACCTAAGCATGGAGAGAAGAACAGGGAATAAATATTTTTAAAATGTACTTCACAGTTTAAAATTAAACACATCTATCTGGAGTTCAGTTTCTCATTTTTTAAAAAAAGAAGATATTTGACTAGGTGATCTTTAAAGCTACTATGATACTTTAACGCAAGTTGTAAAGTGAACAAATTCTATGATTTAATTCAGACAAACCTCTTTGAAGATAATCCCCTTAAGGATATACTTTACTTACATTCTTCCTACACCTTCATACATGTTAGTCTCATCTACCAAAGTCATAATCTCTGTATCTGTAAGATGTGCATGCTTTTTCGTTCTGTTTAGCTGTTCAATCTGTATGTCTGCAAGCTTCACCTTCTGTTGAGTGTCAATCACTTTGGCTTGAAGCTCTGTGAAGGCCTAAAAAATAAGTCCGTGATTTAGTAGCTGCAACATTTTACAGGAAACATTTAAGTCAAATCTAAATATATTAAAATAAAGCCTGCTAACCAGAGACAAAGCTGTGAAATTTACCACAGCAAACATCAATAAAAATCAATAAAATTGTAAACAATCAAGCCACTATGCTAAATACATTTGACTCTTGAACAATTCGGTGATTAGGGGCACTGACCCTCCATGCAGTTGAAAATCCAAGTATAATTTATAGGTGGCAGCTCCTATACAGCAGTTCCTCTGTATCCTTGGTTCTACCGAGTGGATTCAACCAACTACACATCATGTAGTACTCTAGTATTTTCTATTTTTAAAAATCTGCATACAACTGGATCCCCGCAGTTCAAACCAGTGTTGTTCAAGGGTCAACTGTACTGAATTTACTCAGTCCTCAGAAGATGCAACCTATTTGAAGCAGAACAAAGGTAAATAATAACCATATCAAGTAGCAAGTATCCGAGGAGTAATAAAAGCACTAAATGCAACAGTCACAGGATGAAACCCAGAGATCCAAAACAAGAAACATAAATGTAACAGCTCACTACATCTGTATTACACAACTAGGTGTAAAGTACTTTCCCACATTTGTTTGAAATATTAACATGTGAATATTAATATGAGAATACTGACAGATATAATAAATGTCTCATTTACTCTTTTCAATAATCCTGAGTTAGGGATGGCAGTTTCACCACCACAGTTTACAAATTAACTAAATGTTTTAAAGAGATATAAATGACTTGCACAGGGCTGAGCAACTACTAAGTGGAAAAGCAAGTACTTAAATCCATTTCTTCTGACCTCTAGTTCAGGAATCTTTCTATTCTACTATCTACAGTAATACTCAGAAAATGAATATTTTAAGAGAAAAACAAGAATTTCAAAACATTGTTAGAAGAATTGCATCATGATCTTCATACGCACATACCAAGCCAAATTTGACACTTGAGTACCCTTACTCAAAGATAAAAGTTTCTTGGATACTCATGAAGTGCCTAGAATGACTTTCATATGCTCTCAAATTTATGCCTTAATAATAACATTTGCGGCTGCAATACACAGCAAAAGCTAATACTTAATTTTTATTCTCACTTTGTTCTCACGGACTAGTAAGGTTTCAAAAGATTCATTTTGGGGGGAGAGGAAGTGCCTAAAGTTTCCTACTAGTCTCCACCTGCCGTGCCCCCCACCCCCCGGCCACCGCCAAAAAAAAACCTTATAAAGATATTAGAAGACCTTTAAACATGCTTCTTTTTCAATTAATTTCATTGGTTGTCAAAACTACCCAATTTAAGTCTGTAATCATTTTCTTAGTTTGCATTCACTGTCCACAGGTTTCCTAGCAACAAGTTCAAATAATACTGAGCGGTAAGTCCATTCACAGCTGTACTCTATTGTTAGCTCTTTCACTAAACCCTAACTTAAATTTGAACTTTTAACAGAAAAAAAAGGTAAACTTTTATAACACTTTAAGACACAGTTTGCTAAGGAAGCTGGTATATTGTTAATGCTAAGATATTACAGCACTAGAGGCCACATAAGGACTAAAGGTACAAGTTTCAAACAAGAAGCAAGACACACACACATAAATCCTCAGAGCAATAATAAACAGCTTCATTTATTAGGTGGAAAAGCTATTTCAGCTGTCCTATTTCTTATGCAGAGGTTGACCAGGAGACAGCCTTAAGTAAAATTTGCTCTTCTAACGAACCAAAACTAATGGTCAAAAGGTGGGAAGTAAGGCAGAGAATACTGGATTCTAGTCCCAACCTTGGTCTGAGTCTTTTCTGAAACTGTTTCCTTTTCTAGAAAAGTATAGGTTTAAAGTAGGTAAAGTCTACGAATCCCGACAACTCTTTAAGCTGCGAAAACGTTCCTGAGTAACAACACATTTATAGGCAATTGTTTGAAAAGAGAAAACCAATTCCTTCTGATACCGATTTTATCTGGAAAACTTTGTTTCTTTTTTGACAAGTCTTTAAATAAAAACGGGGGCGGGGCGGGGGAGCTAAGACCAAAGCCCTAAGATGAACACTGCTATGAGAATACCTAACTGAACTGTATGTAGCGACCTTACAAGGTATGGGATTGAAGAAGTGGCCTAAAAACAGGTTGGACTTGGATTTTTTTCAAAGCAAATTAGAATGCAGAATTACATGCCTCAGCTCGGGCAGCCGTCTCAAAGGGCTCCAGCTGGAAACGCTCACTTCAGGCCTCACTATGGAACTGAAAACTCCAAGCTCAACGAAAGGTCTCTGGAACTCGGAACTAGGGAACAGAAGAGCTATCGGCCCGTCAGACTTAACCAGGCCCAGCGCAACCGGCTCTTACCCAGCAAAGAGCAGCTCGCCCCCGACTCCAGCCTACAGAGACCCTGTCCCGCCTTAGGTCTCTGGGAAACCATTCCCCATTTCCCTGGAGCCTTCCGCAGAACTCGAGTCTCACTCGATATTCTTGTCCACAGTTCCCTTAGCTTCCAAAGAAAAAGTCTCTGCCTGCTCAAGACCCTCTTTTACCTTCTTCAACTCCAAATCCACGGGGGCCGCCATCTTGCTTCACTCCTGCGCCTGCGCAGTGGGAGAAGGCAGGAAAGAGGATGGGGGAAGGGCGCTCCTTGACGGTTTGAGTCCCCCCCCCTCCCTTCTGCGCCTGCGCATGAGTCTGGCTGCTCTGTTTTCCAACATTCTCCAGCGCTGGCAACCCCCGAAATATCCAGGATTGCGATTCAGAGTACATCTTCCCCACGTGAGCTATAGGCCTGCCCTGTTTCTCCACATTCTTCCAAACACAGCACAACGCGCAGATTTCGTGTATGGTTTTAAGCATTTTGACAAATAGCTTAATTTGTGCTGCTAAATTGAGATGTATGTAGATTAGGCCAAAATCTCTTAAGTCATTCATGCCTTCGGCGAGTCCCTGTGCTGTCAGGCATGAGAGAATTGGCATGAGAGAGTCAGCCTGAGAGAATCAGCCTGAGCTTCGGGCATGGCAGTGTGGAGAAGACCAGAAGGCTTAGTTGAAGTGTTCTCCCAAAGAACTTATTTCTACTGAACGCTCCTGGAAGACCTTCTAGACATAGTGGTTCTCACGAGAGGCCACATTAGTTTGTTTTAAAAAAAAAAAACAAACAGATTCTCTGATCCTCATCCCAAACTTAATTACTTAGAATCTTTGCTATGGGGCCCAGAAATTTGCACTTTTGCAAACTCCCCTTATGACCTGGTGCAAGTGGTCTGCAAACCACATTTTGAGAATCTGCTATAAAGTACCTGGCATTTGAACCAAAAGAGTAACTAGTAATTGGACTTCTGGACATGAAAGAAATATATGTCTTACCTACTCTAAAAATCTGTGGGGGAGAAGAAAGGGCAGGGAATTTGGAATTAGACAGATCTGTATTCAAGGTTTGGTCTACCTTGAGCCTAGGTATGTCTGGTTCCATATACTATTTGTATAGCAATAGAGTTTGTCTCCTCATTTAATATGAGAATAACCCTAACAGGGTTATTCTGAGGAATAAATAAGATCAGGATGAAAAGCTCCGAGCATAACACAATGCACACAGTAGGTACACGATAAATAGTTGTAGTTAAGTTCATGTAGTTAGCATTGTTGTGTTTGTCTTTCAAGGTCCAGCAACCGGCCCCATCCTCCTTTATGTATTTTTTTATTTTTTACATCACATCACACAGACCATAAATAACCTCTCCTCAGACTCTCAAGACTACATCTATTCCTTTTTCAAGGCTCTTTCTATCTTAAACAAATTTTTTTCATATTAGACTTACTAGCAATCCAAGTGTCCATCAGTGAATGAATGTATAAACAAAATGTGGTATATACCAGGGGTCCCCAGCCCCCGAGCCGAGGTCCAAGCAAAGCTTCATCTGCCTCTCCCCATCACTCACATGACTGCCTGAACCATCCCCCCACCCCACCCCACCTAGTCCATGGAAAAATTGTCTTCCATGAAACCGGTCCCTGGTGCCAAAAATGTTGGGGACCGCTGGTATATACATAAAATGGAATAGCATTCAGCCTTTAAAAGGAATGAAATTCTAATTCTACTTAGAATTCTAATGCTACAACACGGATGAACCTTGAGGACAGTACGCTAAGTGAAATAAACCAGTCACAAAAAAGACAAAATATCGTATGATACTATTTATATGAGGGACTTAAGAGTAGTCAAAATCATAAAGACAGAAAGTAGAATGGTGTTGCCAGGGGCCAGGGGGAAGGGACAGAAAGGGGAATTCTTGTTTAATAGGTATAGAGTTTCAGTTTTACAAGATGAAAAGAGCTCTGGAGATGGAAAGTGGTGAGGGTAACACAGCATTATGAATGTTTTTAATACCACTGAACTGTACACTTAAAAATGATTACAATAGTAGATGTTATATTATGTATATTTTACCACATTAAGAAAATGAAAAAATGTATTTATTCTTCTTTCAAATCTACATGTTCTTTTCTTTTTCATAATGATATGCAGTGATATGTTCTTGCCTAATAGTGAAAATAATTAGAACATAATGAACATAATTATTTTTAAGTTTCTTTACAATGTTTTATCACCTGAAGTATTTTGGGTGTGAATTCTTCCACTGGGGGCGTCTGCTAGTCTTTCTTATGAGACTTGATTTTCTCATTTGACTCTTAAGTTTTTGATTAAGTTCCTATCTTCAGTGTCTAGCATGTCCTGGACGATGGAAACATCTCACATTCACTTCTTTTTTTTTTTTTTTTTTTTTTTGGCTGCGCCACACACCTTGTGGGATTTTAGTTCCCTGACTGGGGATTGAACCCGGGCCCTCAGCAGTGAAAGCGCCAAGTTCTAACCACTGGACCACCAGGGAATTCTTCCACATTCACTTCTACCAGAGCCCTGTGAGAGACATGAGTTCCAGACCAATTTTTAGGGTGATTCTTGACACCACATGAGTAAAGCAAATTTAGCGAAAAATAAACTTTGCCCTGAGCATAAAGTTGGTAGAATGTGTTATACATTTATAGACTGGCAGCCACTGTAATATGTTTCTTTTTTTTTTTTTAATATTTATTTATTTATTTATTTGGTTGTGCCGGGTCCTAGTCGTGGCAGGCAGGCTCCTTAGTTGCGGCACGTGGGCTCCTTAGTTGCGGCATGCATGTGGAATCTAGTTCCCTGGCCAGGTATCAAACCAGGGCCCCCTGCATTGAGAGCACGGAGTCTTAACCACTGTGCCACCAGGGAAGTCCCTGTAATATGTTTCTATATGTCCTTTTTATTTGGGCCTTCAAAATAAATATTTCCTTTCTCTCTCCAGAGCTTCTAAAATGGCAGGAAAAGACTGTCTATGAAAGCCCTAAAGAGTCTGCAGTCCTTGGACACTTGCCTGGAGAATAACCGCTCTGTGCTTGCTTCTATTATTTTTATTTAAAAAGAAAAAAAAAACAAAAACAGACTTCACACTGAAAGCTTCACTACTACAGGGATATACTCCTTCTGAGGTTCAAACAGTCCACAGTGGTGGAATTTAAAAGGTGATCCTCTATTACCCTTCGGCTCTGCTAATCCATGCACAATACACTTACTTATTCATTCAACAAATATTTATTGAACATCTGTTAGGCACTAATCTAGGGCCTTGGGATACAACAATTAACAAGAGACAAATTCCCTGACCTCATGGAGCACACATTCCAGTGGGGAAAGACAAACAATAAACATGCAGGGACTCCCCTGGTGGTCCAGTGGCTAAGACTCTGCTTTCCCAATACAGGGGGCCCAGGTTCGATCCCTGCTCAGGGAACTAGATCCCACATGCCACAATTAAAGACAAAGATCCCGCACACGGCAACAAAGATCCCGCGTGCTACAACTAAGACCCAGCGCAGCCAAATAAATAAATAAATACTTTTTAAAAAAAAGATCATAAAAAAAAAAGATCGTATGTTCCAATAGCTAGAATAAACAAATCTATTTTTTAAAAACATGCAAACAAATAACTTCATATATTAATAAGTATTATTAAGAAGAAAATAGCAATGTGGTTAGAGACTGACTGGGTGGAGGCCCCTTAGGTGTGGGAAGCTCTCTGGAAGGCCATAACATTTGAGATGAGACCTGAAAAATGAGAATTAGACAGCTATGCAAAGAGCTGGGGAAAGAGCATTCCAGACAGAAGGAACAGCAAGAGCAAAGGGTTTAGGATGGGAGCAGGCTTGGCATATTTGAAGAACAAAAGGAAGACATCAGTGTGGCTGGATGGGGAGAATGGTAGAAAACCATTGGTATTCTTTTTTTTTTTTTTTTGGCTGCGTTGAGTCTTCGTTGTTGCATGCAGGCTTTCTCTAGTTGTGTCGAGTGGGGGCTACTCTTTATTGCAGTGCGTGGGCTTCTCATTACAGTGGCTTCTCTTGTTGCGGAGCACGGGCTCTAGGCACACGGGCTTCAGTAGTTGTGGCTCATGGGCTCAGTAGTTGTGGCTCACAGGCTCTAGAGCGCAGGCTCAGTAGTCGTGGCGCATGGGCTTACTTGCTCCACGGCATGTGGGATCTTCCCGGACCAGGGCTTGAACCCGGGTCCTCTGCATTGGCAGGCAGATTCTTAACCACTGTGCCATCAGGGAAGTCCCAGAATGTTATTCTGAGTGTGATTGGAAGCCATTGAATAATTTCAAGCAGGGGATTGATATGATCTGAAGAGATTGATATGATTCTATTTTAAGGAGACCATTGTGGGTTCTAGGTGGAAAATAGATGGGAAGGAGCAAGTGTTGAAGCAAAGAGACCAGTTAGGAGACTACTCCAGTAGTACATGAGACAGATGCCGATGGTCTGGGTGAGGATGATGACGATGGAGGTAAACAGAAGTAGTTGGATTCAGGTAGAGGTTACTGAACTCAATGAAGGAATGGATTGGGGGTAGGAGGTTGGCCATGAAATAAAGAGAGGAATCAAAGATGATTTGTAGGGACTTCCCTGGTTGTCCAGTGGGTAAGGCTCTGTGCCCCCAATGCAGGGAGCCTGGATTCGATCCCTGGTCAGGGAACTGGATCCCACGTGCATGCCACAACTAAAGATCCTGTGTGCCGCAACTATGACCCGGCACAGCTTAAATAAATAAATAAATATTTTTTAAAAAGATGATTTGTAATCTCCAAATAAGTATGCTGAGTGAAAGAAACCAGACGAGAAAGAGTAACATGCTGTATGATTCCATGTCTAAAGTTCTAGAGTATGCAAATAAATCTAAAGTGACTGAAAGAAGATCAGTTGTTGCCAGGTAGATTGGGGGTGGTGGAAACCAAGGAGGAGGCAGAAAGAAGGGGTTACAAAGGAGCATTAGATAACTTTTGTGGTGATGGATATATTTATTATCTTAATTATTAAGATGGTTTCCTAGGTGGGAATTTATCAAAGTGTACACTTAAATATATTCAGTTTATCATATGCAATTATACCTCAATAAAGTTGTTTTAGAAGAAAAAAAAAGACTCCTAGGTTTTTGACCTGAGCAAACTTGTTGAGTGATATGTCTTCTACTGAGAAGAGAAAGTTAGTTCTTATGATATAGCCTACATGCAGTCTCAAAGCCACTCTCC